GCATTATGCAAAGCTACTTTTCTGAGCTTTATATCATGTTTTAATGTTGTTCCACAATAAACACAGAAAACACACCCAGAGTGTTGCTTTGACTCATTCGTGCTCATTTGAGAAATCCTTGAATCTGAGCTGTCTTAATGCTACAAAGCACCGCCTATTTACACAAAGCTCCTCCCTGGAGCTCAGTCCACAACCGAGCTCCTGCCCCACAGGGCACCCTTCCCCCGAAATATTGTTGTAAAGAAATGCTGAAGGTTCTTAAAGAGACAGAGGCCAATTCCACGGCTTTAGATACGGCTATGATACAAAGTCAAAATTTATTTTTTGATGTATAGCATTTTAATAACAACTGAAGGTAACATATGCCCCTTTTCTACTAGTGCCGTGTAGTGTCGGTCCAGTTCGGTACGGTTCCAAGCCATTTCCACTAGGCCAGATCCATGGAACCGGCACTTTTTTAGTACCTACTTCATTGTGGTTCCAGACCGGCCCCAGATGACACCAAAAGGTGACGTCAGAACACTGTTCATCACTGACTGGCTAAATTTTTGCAAATGTTTAAAATTTCAAAAGTTATTCATCAAATGTGTTTCCATCTCTCATTTTGCCCATTAATTTTTTTTCAAAATACCTAAAAAACCTCCTCCACCAACTGCCCAAAACACACTCATTGGAACCGGACTGGAACATCAGTGGAAAACCAACCAGTCCGAACCGTACTGACCCGTATCGACCGTTCCGACACTACACCATGGAAAAGGGGCATAAGTTGCTTGATTGTGGTATAGAATTGAACTGCACCTGGAAAATATATACCGGTAGTATATCCCTCTTATCTGTCTGAAACAAACATATGTAGTTTGTTTTTGTATGAGGATATACTATGGTTAAGATCCACCTTTTGTCTTTGGTGTTTTACTCAGAGTTCAAAATCCACTTAGAGTTGATAGCTGAATGGTGTGTTTCTGTATTTTATTTAATCTTACCTACTCTTTTTTATTTTTTGTTGCTTTGCTTTTGTTGTTGTTTTACCTTTTGTGTGTGAATGAATTGTAAAACACTTTAGTTAACTTTTGCTGTTTATATGTGCTGTAGAAATAAAATTGGTCTTGATATTGACTTGTATAGGTACTATCAGTTTGTTTTTAGTCACCTTGATCAATATATTATTCATATACATATTTTTGTTTGTTTTGTTTGCTTTTTATGGTTTTTCTCTGTTTGCTATCTTTTGAATTTTATATTTAGTGAAATAGATGAGAGAAGGTCTGGCTCCATTAGAGATGTGTAAGAAAAAGAAAACTACTCAGGGAATGACTCAGGATTTTTGCACAGTGCTGTACATATTTGCTTGTTTAATGATGGCCTTTTTATTGCACAACAAAATAGATCCACACATTTATAAGATGTCAAGCTGCAGTAAATGAAGTGTCTGTGAGGGTTTTTAGAATCAAACAAAGGCACTGATGCCAGAATAAATTCAGGCAGTGAAATCAGCAGGCAAATGAGGCAGGATGCATAAAATAGTAAATGGTTTTATTCTTTTTTGAACCATGCCACTGAACACTGACGCATACAGAGTTGTGCCTGAATCCACACTGAGAAAACACTTTCACACACCGTGTTACAAAGCTGTAATGAAGAGGGACATTACTGCACACATGGCAAGAAGAACAACCCTGATTGGATGCCAGGTCGAGCTTTGATCTGGTCCTGAGGTAGACAGACAGTGACATAATCTAAACAATGCTAATCACATCCTTCTAGGACACATCAAATAAGACAGCTGCATTATCACAACATACAAAGATAAAAGAAAAAACAAACCCTTTTCAAACAAAAGTGCTCTTGTTTCTTTTGGTCCTCCAAGGAAAGTCATTTCTAGTGCATGTTCATGTAGAGTAGGTACAGTGAATGTGTGTGGTTGCTTTATGGCACTGAGTGTTGTTGGCTACTGTTTGAAGGCATTTGTGATGCCCACAGATGCCAAGATGTGCTATACACACAGTTTTCATCCAGAGATGTCAGTCCGTTGTCACTTTGAGGGAAACAATTTCAGAAAAGCATGTACCTTTTTTTTTTCTTAACATCAAAATTGCTCGGAACTTGCATCAGATTATCAGCCACTATCACAGTATGTTGCTTCCTGTTGCAATGTTCAGACAAAGTGGATCTACATGGCAGTCTATTTTTTTATTTAACAATAAACAAACACTCAAAAAACACACTACCAACAGCACAGACCCCAAGCACATCAATGCTCTACCTACAAAAGAGGCACAAGGGAGGGGTCTTAATCAAATCATATAAAACACACACATTAGGATGTTTTGTCAAATTATAGCAAATGTAAACAGATCGCAAATGACAGTAATACAAAAATACAACATGTTTAACTCTATAAGGCCCATTTCAGGCTCACATAAGGGAATCACCATGACAGTTTGTACGTTACAGCTACACTACAACTGACAATAACCTGATCAGAGGAATCCAATGTCAGAATTTTCTTTTCCTTTTATTTTAAAAAAATGTCTTTTTCATGTTTCATTTTCTACTAGAAAATTCTGAATCTGATTTTTTAAAACATTTATATATAAGCAATGATATAAAAAACTACACTTAAAAGCCTTGTAGAGGCTTGTCACTTTTTCCCCCCCCACACTGTTTGACCATGAAAATTGTGACGTTGGTTACAAATTTAAACCTACTGATGGATGAATAATTTCAAGTGAATTTCAAGGAAACTGTGGAAGCATGAAGGGGAGGGAGCTAGAACTCGCTCTACGAGAAAACATCTCATGAGAGACATTGTGTGATGAAAACCAGCACATATTTGGTAACAAATGAACAACATTATAAATAGCAAAAAAAAAATAAAAACCCTATTACAAGAGCATCTCAAATGGAGAGTGCGCTACCTCGGATCAATAAAACACCAGACTGCATGAGAGACAAGGCAGTTAAAGAGATCAAGCTCATGAGGTCAGCCATTCAAGTAAAACATGCAGAAAATAAACAACTCCAAAAAAAAAACTGTGTGGAAAACAAAAAAAAAACAACAACTAAGAAGTCACAGGATATTAGGAGGGGAAACTTCAGCCAATCAAGCCTTTGTGGAATTATTTTTAACACCTGCCGCACAATCGTAGACGATGACCCTGATTGTTTTAGCAGTCGGTCAAAATGCTCCTGCTACACGTGAAGGCAAAGACGTTGATGGCATTGATTTCTCACCACAGTGGATCCTCTACAGATACAGTGATCAAAACTCTGTAAACAAACAGAGCTTGTGTGCAGGACAGCTTAATTAGGTACATCAGAAAACTGTATTTTTTTAAATTAAATAAAAAAAAATACCTTAAATATTTGCTGTGTTCTGCTGCTCAAAATGTCAGAATTTGAGGGGTTTTTTTCTGCCAACTAAATATCTTTGGATTTGACAGGCTGATATTTTTATTTTAGGATGTCATCTTACTGCCAACTTGTGTCGACTTTAGAAGAATTTTCACAGGGACTGATAATAACACTAATCATTAGTTGCAGCCCTAGAATGTAAACACATTTGTATTTGCACGTCTCATCATCAGGTAGAAACCTTTTTCTCTGGTAGAGACAAATATATTTTTATATATCCCTAAAGAAACGTGTTTTCCTTCAGCATTAAAACCAGCAACACAAGTTTTCACCCAGTATTGACAGTGTGTGTGTGTGTGTGTGTGTGTCTATGTGTGTGTGTGTGTATGTGTGTGTGTGTGTGCGTCAGACTGTGGGTCCAAGTCCTGCTCAGACGTAACAGACATACAAGTAAGTTTTTTCTATCCTCCAGTCGGCCGGCACCTCCTCGGGTTTGTGGCCCTTCATGTGCTTCTGCATGGCAGCCAGGCTCGGGCAGAAGTCCTGGCAGATGGTGCACTGGTACGGCGACGCGCCGTTGTGTGTGCGCAGGTGCTTGATCATGGCCGAGTAGTCTCTGGACCGTTGGTGGCACAGCTTACACTCAAATGGCTTCTCACCTTTTAATAAAAAGTTCAGAGAAAAGTCACATTAACCTTGAGTGGAGCGAGTCAAGATTTGCTTCTGTTCCGTTCCCATGAGCTGCCTAAAAATAGCTTCTGTATCAGATTGCCTTGAACTCGATGGTGTGAAACTGAAAGCTAAAATTCTCAGAAATGTAGCCTAAAATAATAATAAAAAAAACAATAGTGTTTGTTGTACAATTTATTTTTGGAGCCAAAGGTGTAAAATACAAATGAGGTAACCACAGGGTGTCACACTTGAGCAGCAGCAGATTACTCCTGAAAAGAAAACTGAAAATGAAAACTTAAAGCATTCAAGGTAGCTCATAGATTTTTCTTTGAGAAGAAAACATCTAATATCGGCTCTGATTGTATCCGATCTGCCTCGCTCTAGTTGAAGAATGCGCTTTATCCTTTTAGGGAAAGGTAAAAACTTTGCTTATTTTTACAGTTGTACACCTACTAACAAAGCAAAGGAGACACACAGGGAGAAAAAAAAGATAATTTTTACATTTTTAGGCACCAGTTTGCACCTGTTGATAAAATAATGTAATGAAATTAAGAATCTCTTCAGTTTGAGTGAATTTTTTTCTCATGCCACATTCTCAATGACGCCTATAAAAGCACAAACGACTCTCCAGTCTGCTTTTGTCTAGAAAAATAACTCATTTTGATTGCTTTTATACCATCCATCCATCCATCCATCCATCCATCCATCCATCCATCCATCCATACATACATACATCCATCCATCCATTTCAAGGTCACGGGGGTCACTGGTGCCCATATGTAGTGGGCTGTGCGATGGGTGGGGTACACTCTGAACAGGTCACAAATCCATCCCAGGGCTACTTTTATATCAATAACTAATAATTATTTGTGGACTGTAACAGCTTTTATGTGTTTGTTGAAATAAAAAATTTTATTGCTGATGTTATTTCAGGTGATTTTGTTGTGGGACCTCTAAAATACTAAAAGCTGAGTCAAATAAATAATACAACTCAGTAATCAGTAACTCAGTAATGCCCATTAAAAACTATTAATTAATATAGCGATTATTTGACATACTGAAAATATTTGTAAAATTATATCAAAATCAAAACAATCTTCTGTTGAGTCATTGATAATTTTATAAATTTTATATTTTCAGACTTTTTTTTAGTCTGACCCTCCATCTGATCCAGTGCCAGACCCTTGTAGCTGTGTTAGACTGGATCAGCTGGAGGGGGAGAGGTTTGAGTAGTGGGGTGTGCTTCTGTGCCACAACTGATTCACACAACTGGGTTTGTATGTAAATTTAACAGATTTACTGTTTTATTAGAAAATAAAATTATTTTTTGAGTAGATAAAGATTCGATACAGAAGAAAGAAAATACACACACCTGTCTGTCATGTTGCACTAATAAATGACAAACATYAAAATCAGACATAATTTGTTTTTTAATGGATTTTGAATTTAAAGTAGGTGGGTTACAAAAGTCTCCCCGGAAATATGTAGCTGTTCAAATAAATCTTAGTTTGATGAAAACTTTGATTATTTTTAGTTTATATATTTAACTAAGTTTTACGTTTCAATAAGCTTTGTTTTTAGTTATCCTTAAACGAAAGCTCTATGAGAAGACTGAAACATTGTTTCATTCTGACAGAATAGTTTCTTTTTTTTCTTAAAGAAAATGCTAATTATCYTGTAAGAAGATGCTGGTAAACATTAATATGGGACATATATTTGCTGAATGAATTAAAATTAAAAAACTTTCACTGTGATTGCATATGAATGCAGTTAAATATAAAAAGGCACTCAGATGATGAATCTGATATAAAAGTCTAATAATATTCTGTAAAGGAATGCCTCACCTGCTGCTTTTCATGAGTTTTTCTTTTCTTTTCTGCACACTTACAGCTGTAATTTGATACGATTTTAGCGCACTCTCCTCCCAGAACTCACCTGTGTGAACACGATAGTGCGTCTCCAGCTGGTGCTTCAGACTGAACCTCTTCCCACAGCCATTGCACTCGTAGGGCTTCTCCCCCGTGTGGATGCGTTTATGGCCCCTCAGYGTGCCGTCGTCTCTGAAGCAGCTCCCGCAGAACTCGCACTCAAACGGGTGATCGCCTGAGAGCACAATCGTGTCACAACAGCAGCTCCAGCACCAACAGAGACACTTGTTTATTGTTAGAAGCACTGAAGACTAACTTTATTCTTGGCAGGCCGCGTATGCAGCCGCATAGGTCAAACTGTCACCCAGGCCTTTCTCAGCATGCTTTATCAAGCAGAGGAATACTGTTTCTTTCAAACGTCGCTAATGTTATGACACGGGGACACGCCTCTTGGCTATCTGCTAATGGCTAATAAAAGTCCTTCAGACATGTGCTGCTCTGTTCTCTATACTGTAGTTAATCYATTTCTCTCCTAGGCCGAGGGTTTGACTCATCTCCAGTGACCTATGTGCCTCATTATCTCAGTGTCCACAGCAACAGCCAACTCAGAGGATACATTGCTTCTCCTCATTACAGGCCGATTCTCCCCAATCCCCCACCCCACTGTGGAGCAGATGACATTTACAAAATGTTACTTCCAAGCAGAATGGCATACAAACAAGATGCGCTGCCATGGCCAAAACTCCCTTCACTTCTGTCTCCTCACATCAATTATGTATTTCTCCTGTCTAGACATCAAGCCGTCTTGACAGCTGGTAGTGTTATTTAAGGTAAAAGAAGAAAAGGGGACATCTTTTCAGTAAATCTCTCTGTGTCTCCTGCGGCACTGAGACTCACCCTCAGTAGAACCACAGAGGCAAGTCATTTCCATTTGCTTTTCCTTCAATATTTATTTGGGTTTCCTCTATCATTTTCAGTGAACCACACAAGAAGTGACAGCCATGAATTGCAGAGKCCCGAAGGCTGTCTAAAAACCCGAAATGTAAACAGGATGAAATTGCCCAAAATATGCACCGGCCACAAAGGTACAGTGCTGTCAGTGGAGAGGTGAGTCATCTTATAGAGAGCGAGAAGGAAGAGTGGGAGAGGATGCATGCAAATTGACTCAGACCTTACAGCCAATAACCTGAGGAAATTAACCCACATACAGAAATAAACACAGCTGTCTTTGTCTCTCCCTCAACATATGCGTGCGTTTGACACCAGCGTGTTCATGTTTTCTGACAGCAGCTGACACCACAGACAACAGCGGCGGTGCGAGTGATCCCTTACCCGTGTGCGAGCGCAAGTGTCTTTTGAGGGTCGTGTGGCTGGGGAAGGGGCGCTCGCAGTGGCTGCAGATGTAGCTGTGCATCCCTGCGTGGACCTCCATGTGCTGCTGCAGGGCCTTCTGGGTCTGGAAGCGCTTTGCACACAGCAGACAGAACACCGCCATGTCAGTCCCTGGAGAACGCGCAAGACACAGACGCGGAGTTATTTCAGTACCATACACAGACAGGGCCTTAAGTGGGGAAACTGGGTCACTTCAACTTTGTGTGAGTCCTCTGAGGGAAAAGCTTCTTTCAAAGAGCAAGTGCCTCTACCTAAACTAACTCCCCTAAAAGCCCAGAGGCGCTCTGAGCTGCAAGATTTTATACATTCTATTTTAAACCATGAAAGTGATTGTTTTCTTTAAGAATTGTTCACACAATGCACAGCATGCCAATCACACAATCAATGGCTCCTTCCTGGTGTGTTAGATGTGTAATTATTCTCTTCACTCCCCATCAGGAGTCGGCTCCAGCCTGTGAAGTCCTCCGCTTCTGTGCTCAAAGAGCAGCTGATAGTAGCTCCACCCTAAATGATGCCTACACTATGCGCTCTGTGCAGAATGTTAAGTAGTGATATCAAGCCATTAAACGCAGGACTGCAGGAAAAAACACAATCCAGTTTAATCCTGTGTGTGACCTGGCATCTCTTTAGGGCTGCTTTCCTGTTGCACAGAGTGTGGAGAGGAATACAGATAGGGAGTCGCTGGCAGGGTAGTTTAAGTCAAAATGGCTACATGAAGAAGATCCATTGGCTGTCACACAGTCAAAGCCTAATCTACAGGCTGTGTATGACAGAGATCAAATCCGCTCCCGCAATTCACACTGATGTGAATTCATATGTGCGTTCRAACTGAGGGACGGGTTAATAAGCAGCATTGACATAATGTGCATGTCCTAGAGAGTGAGGCTTTAATGTGAGATTATGAGGTCCTTATTTCTCTGTCTGCTCAGGTTGCAGATCATTTACAATGTGAGCAGGTCCCATTGCTCCTGACTTAGATTCAATCAGACATCTCCAGCAGAGGATCATTAGTAAACAGAGGACTGTGCCAGCACTTCATTGGAATTCAAGTGGGGTTGCTGTGTCGCATTTAAAATGCAGTCTGATGAGGTCCACTAAATCAAATCATTTGTTACTGTTATTGAAGTGCCTTGAGGCAACTGGCAATTAAATTGGAATTAACGCAGGGAAAGGGATACAGCACACTCATACTAAGAGGGGAGAGTGTCAGACACTTGCTTTGGGTTCAATCAAGTTAGCAGACAGACAAGCCTGTTCAAAGAAGAAGAAAGAAGAAACAAATCCAGCAAATTCACATTTTAAAGGATTGAATCAAACACATTCATAAAGGGCTGTTCACTAATCCATACATCACAATTTGTTCAAACAAAAGCACAATGTTTTGAGACTTTACATTTCACAGTTTGCTAAACACACAGAGCTGCTGTTTTGAAAAAATCAGAGTTTTTTTATTTCTGAAAACTGAATAAAGCCTGATGAATCTCAGTCCTTAACAAAAAGAAGATGGGATGAAAGACTTTTTTTCCTGATCTCGACAATCCTTCCGCGAGGCGATCCAGTGGAATGAACTGCACCTGTTTGGAGGCTTTAGCCTGTAGACTTTTGCACAAAGAACACACAATAAGGTTCAGGCCCTCATTGACCAAGCCTATTAGTCATAGGCTCCWCGTGCCACTCATACAATACCTGCCTTTATGCTGCTGCCTAATGACCAAGACCCTTTCTCACCCGTGGATCACAATATTTTAGTTGTAAACAAAAGGACTTCAATTCTCACCGCCTCTGCACCCCTCCACACTGCCCACATCCGCTGACCATACAAGAAATCATTCAACTGTCTAACCAGCTTCATTTTCTGCCTGACTCATACCTAGCTAACGCCATTTCACTTTGCTACAGTGAAGGCTGGATAATGATCCATCTCAAAATAGCTAAAGACATTTGAGAAGCAGAAAAGTACAGTTTCTCAATGACCTGTGAATTTAAAGTTCCTCCACTTTATTTTGTCTTTAAATATTTGCTTTGGCCAGCAGGGGGAGGTGCTTTCTATTCCAATGAGGCCGTGTTACTGTAGCTGCAGCTTCAACAAACTGAACAGCACACAATTTACTTTGTAGACACATCAAAGCAACTTTAATGATAGTTTTCATTTTTTTTACCTCTTTATTAACAATCTTGTGTTGTAAATGTCTGTTTCAGAGCAGTGTGCATACTTTTCTCTGTTGGCTGCGAAAGTTTAGTTTCTCTGTGGAGGTAAACCGTTAGTCTCTGACACTCGCAGACATTYACACACTTGATCCTTCTGTCACCGACAATACTGAAACTTGAGAATAGAAATGACAAATATTCTGTCACAAGAATCTCACTCTTGATCTCAGGTTGACACACAATGACAACAGCTCAGCAGTCGTTTCATTCCGCGCCACTGACGGCTGAAAATAAAAATATACCAAATGATGTCTTGAAGTGTAAAGAAAAACCTTTGGAGCCAAAGGAGTGTTTGTGTGCGTTTCGTGGTGGCATTTCGCCTCACTTCGCTCTCTGTTAACTTTTCAAACAAAAAGGTTTTTGCGGTCGTCAAGTTTTTTTTTCCTCCAGTAAGAAGAAGTGCAGAGGAGCTTCTTTATGAGAGAATAAGCTCTAAAGTTGGCTGCCATTGCCCCCTGCTTTCTCACCCCTAACCACACAATGGGCTTGGGATTTGACCTTTCTGAGGCGCAGGCTGACCCCTCTGACCTCTGCCCCTCAGTGGGGTAAAATACCATGTAATCAATGGTTTTTCTCAAAGGTTAGAGAGTTGACTGAGCATTGTGTTCAGTGGGAGGGGGCTTTAACAGTGGGAATAATGATTTTTCTTCAAGCAAATCTGCGTTTACTGTGTGCATTATAGCACGGAGCTGCTCGTCTAATCCATGATTAGGTCAAAAACTGAGACCGGTTTAAGGTTCTAATGCTGTTTTAGCATATCTCCATTAACACGGCGTGTATGCTCTTGTGATTTTACACGGTCTGCCTTCATACATCTGCCACTCATTCAGTCCAGCTGAGGTGGGAGCCAGCCAGGCTCTCACGCTGCCTAAGAAACAAAACCATGTGTCTAGGCAACCAGATAGGATCACGGTCCTCGTTGGGGTGAAGTGTTCACGCTAATCCCTTCATTCACAAATAAGCGCAGCCTGTTTCTTTTCATACGGGCAAACAAAAGTTTCCCACCCTGAGAATTGGGGAGTAAACCCACTCCAGGCTAGGAAGAAAAAAAAAAATCCATTATAACCATAAATCTGTATCTGTGTTCAGATCCCAAAAACTGATTACTATTTTTTGTGATTGATTTCTATATTTGTACAAGATTTTATTTTATTATTAATTTTGCAATAATTGAATACACTAATTTTAGAATTATATTCAAATCTGTTATTTGTTTTAGAAAACTCCATCTAAAAACACGAGTYGCTGCCTTCAGACAGAGAGGTTTCACACAAATTTCACAGTTTGTAATGTTACATCAGTGCAGATCATGTCCACTAGTGTGCAGTGTCAAAGCACAACAAACTCTGTCCTCGGGCTCTGCTCAGTGTACATACAGTGTGTGTGTTTGCTCACTGCACATGTGCCAGCCAGTTAAATATAAACAATCACACAGGCTGAATTATGTCCGAGCCCTCACATGACCCATGTGCACTCAGGCTTATTATATGACGGCTCCATAGAGATGTGACTCCACAATCACACACACACAAACAAACCTACAGTACCTTAAACAACCCCGGGGCGCTTATCAGCAGACTGCTAATCTACCCGAGTGACGAACAACCGACTCAATAATTAATGCAACAAGAGATGCGTTGCTTGTGTTTAAGCACCATTCCACAGTCTGGTTCATGGAGGTCACGCGTGGCTTTATTCTCCTCCATTCCCAGAACGTTTGCAGTATTCTACCCAACGATCATGCTCCGCTTCGCACAAAATGACAAGCTATCCTGGTGCAAATGCATACTGTGGGTGTAATGACCAAACACAACTCAGTTCGGTTCACTTTAAGGCTTATAGGAATTAAAACGAGGTATTACCGGGAGGGTGCAGTGTGATGATGGACATGCAATTAGGCGAGCTAAAAGGTCTGCATTAAGAGGGATGCATTAGAAAGCCTGGGCTGTATCTGAATAGACTACAGGACTGTTTAATTAGGGTTTGGACAGAAGGCAATATTATTCTCTTGATGAAGCAGCCCGTAATGTGTGGAAACAGTGCAGCTGCTGTGAGTACACAAAGGCAGCACTCTTATGGCCTGGTCCTAAAGGCAAGGTGGCAAAATGGTCAGCCAGCCACATTTTGAAGTACATAAAGTTGATTTCTGTGCTTTAGACGCRTCAATCGTCCAAAATTGAAAGCTCTGAGCCCCCCTGAGTCCCGACTTTGTTTGATGAAACAGACCCCTTTGTTGTGAGAGCGATTCGGAGACAGATCCATTCTTTTATTTTGGGCACTGACAACTAGGTCAGAGGAGACTATGACAGGGCTGTGGTGAGGAGTAAACAGCAGCACATGATGCTGTTTTCCTCCTTTTCCTGGCACCCAACACCAGCAGCAATCCTCTTGCCTTCAGGAAGCCACACACCGCTTTTCCCTTCCCACACCCCCCTCTTTGATCTCTAACTTCAGCAACCCACGGCCATTCACCTTTGACATATCAAAACAGCTAAAGAGATTTCACTGTAAATGTGTGTTGCTGCCAGAATTTCCAAATTGATTCAGATTAAGATCTCCCACAAGTAGCATTATATCCCCTCCAGAGGACACAGACAGTGTTGCAGCTGCTGAGGTCTGACAACTGTTAATCTGCTAAGAGGAAACTCATTTGGCTCACTGGTTATGTCACATGGCAAATTAAAGCAGAAGCTGCTGAAAAGTCCTGTTTTTTTTCCGTAATATACAAACAGTAGGTGATTCTGAAACACATTTCTGCAACACACTGAAGCATTTCCACTCACAACCTCAACACAGCTGATTAAATGACCTGCCACTCATGTCRCAGCCTGTGTGAGTGCGTCACAGCAGACCGAGCCGGGATCATTACAAAAATAAGAGTGTAATGCCCTCCTGTACCCTGCTCTGGATCCACTGCCAAGCTGAAACCGAGCTCTGGGTGTTTACAACTCCTGAGAGATGAAGGTAGAAACTTCTGGGCATCGTTAACACCCCTCCATGTCCACATCCATTAAGTATTCATACTGTGGGTGCCACCTGGAGTTACAGTTACGTGCCAGTGCTCCTGAGAGGGTTATCACCTTTCTCTGACAGTAGCAGAAAAGGTGTGGATTCAGACACTGTCAGCCATATGTAACGTCTGACGGTGGTAAGGCTGTATTTTTCACTGCCAAGCGTGCAGAACAATAGGTTTCAAACCAGACTCRATGACAGAAGCATTGTTTTATTGCTTCATAATTGAAAATAGTCATTGTTGACTGTTACTAAACATGTTTTTGACTTCTTTATTCATTTAAATACTATTTTGTGTAGTATTATATATAATCTGTTTATTATTTTAACTTATACCTTAAATTAGATGTAACAACTTTAATAACAAATACTGTAAAAGAGGTAACAAACCTCTATATCCAATAAAATACTTGAATGTTTGAGGACTTTATCAATTTTAAACAGGTGATTATAAAAAAAAATAAAGTGCAGAAACCTAAGTATTGTTTGAAATGAGAGAAAATTTGTGATTTTTAGAGAATAAAATAATATTGAATCACTAAGTATTTAAGTCAAATATTATTTAAAATAAGGTAGCAAATTGTCTGGAACAAATATAGTAAAGGAATATAAAGCATGAAGTGTTCGCATTTTATTTTGAATACAATTTTTTGAGAGTACGAAGAGGGTAAAGTGCAAAAAGATGAAACAATTTTTTAATCTTCTTTTTTGTCTTTCTTGTGACTCTATTTGGATTATTTTCTTTTTGTTACACTGAGCTAAAACGGTGAGAAGGGGACACACTTAACTACAAGCTTTGTTTTTTTTCTTTGTGATCCTGATTTTTGAATTATTTTTTTATTTTTTTTATTTTTAATAACTGTTTTAGCTCCTGAAGCAATTTATCCCAAACTCATTCAACACATGTCTGATTCAAATTTGTACAATATGGATCTAAATAATAACAGAATACATTTAAAAGTATTATTGATGAATGAATAATAGAAATAACGAATGTATTGGATAGTGGTGCACCAGTAAATCAGCCCATATTTCCTTTATTTTCGTGATCTGGCCGATACTTACATGAGAAGTTGATCGTATCCACCCATCTCATCTACCTTCACTAAAGTCTGAAAATCAGCCTGTTTTCTTTTGCTTCASTGTGAGCACTACATCATGTCCAGTTAAAATCAGTTGATACTGTTTCAAGGGTATGGTTCAATATTTTCAATTAAAAAAAAAAAAAAAACGATGGGAACATTGAAGGTGTATCTTCCAACACCTGACAGTGTTGGTTATTTAAAAAAAATCAGCCAAATTGACCACAAAACTGCAATCTGTGCACCCGTAGCAATAAACAGATTGTTTTTAATTATTTTTTTTTTACAAAAGTGTTGTGTAAGGTAAATAATTTTACAGCTGCCATTAGGAGAGAGGTGAAGATAGCATGTCGGTGAAACTGTAACGCTGGCACTGTAAAACTTTGGTTGAACTGGCATTCGGTGGGTCTGGATGCCAGGAGATATTAGTGGGTGATATGTGAGAGGACCTCCCACCTCCCTGTTAATAAACTATGGAGCATCATGACAGGAACAGTTTAACCCAGCCAGCATGACAAGCAACTTCTGACCCATGATCACAAGTCCTGTCGTCACGGCTTACTCAACAGCCCCACTGCATGCTGTCCAGGTGTGTGTGTGTGTTTGTGTGTGTGTGTGTGTGTGTGTGTGTGTGTGTGTGTTTGTGTGGAGTGTCAGATTGTATTTTTAAATACCTGTGTGTGTTTGCCTGTGGGCTTCCAGAGCTTCCTCGGAGGAGAACGTGGCTCCACACTGATCGCACACCAGTGCCTCTGCAGGAGCTGTAGGTGACATCAAACCCATCAGGATGCATCTTGATCACACATCAACACAAACATCGTCTGACTGTTTTTTGTACTTAATTTAAAGCCAACACGAGGAGGGGAAGAAATCAAACGGGAGTCTCCAAAGCGTGCTGCTTGTACGCACTTGTGCTTTTCAGGAGTTAACAAAAGGAAGCAAATGCGCGCAGTACAAAGGAGCAGAGGAAGGTGCCATAAAAAAACACAACTGGGGGCAAACAAAGGCCCCAGACAGGGTGCAATGGCCCTTCTACTCGACAAAAAAAAAGAGCAGAGCTGAAGAGTTTTATTTACCGTGGCCTGTTATCAGTCTCTGAACAGTGAGCAGACTGTCTGCCTGAGAGGCCACAGAAGGACTGGGTGTTCTCTGTACAGCAGACGCTTCCCGCCTGCGGCACATCGCTTTATCACCAAATAAAAAAGAAAACACACACACACACACACACTTCAGAGTCAACACCCCAAATCCCATCACATGGACTGTAACTCCAGTTCCCAGGTCACCTCTGGAATGCCCTTGTCTGTTCTGATGAAGACATGAAAGAGACAAGTATGCATACAGCTTGCAGAAATGTTCAGTCCTTGTTGTGCACTCACCTCACACCTGCGCACACAAACACACAYGCGCGCACACTTTCTCCGTCTCCCTCTCACACGCAGCTGTTTGGATGTGGGTTGGCTCTCACTGAGATGTAAATCGGTTGCAGATCCATACTGGCCCAGGGCTCATTCACTGATCTATTTTCTGCTCAGCTGGCTTTAAATGAAGTTAAAATGACTCATTAAAACACCCACAAGCTTTGGGAACTCTGCGCGCTACAGCCTAAATGTGGTCCTCTTTCAACTCTTACCATGCCTCTGTGCTCAGACAGTACGCCACTGTTCCCAGAGCTGCACGCAAATAACAAAAAACTGTAAAAAAAAAAAAATTAAAAGCCTCAATCTGCTCATTTCTAAAAACAACACTTTTCTGAAAACAACCCGTTATGATTCATTTTGTTCCGCGGGAACAAAAATAAAAGTGGAATGAGAGTAGTGGTGTGTAGTAGTAAGAGTGGAGCTGTGTTGTAGATCTTGATGCTGTTTGACGCTGTCCAGTGTGGTGTGTGTTGTGTTGGGAGAGATTGTGTGATAAGGGAAGAAGAGAACATAGTGCATTGTCTTGTGCAGTCAAAGGCACGGAGTGTGCTCTCATCCATAAACCATCAAACTGTCTCCAGACACGGCTGCAATCGTCCTCCATCAAAACACTTTGTCTGGCATACCAAAATAAGAGCCAGCATCGAGCTGAATACCAAATCAGCCCATTAGAGCGGTGGAGCACTCGCTCCTTAGCAACCAGCGGGATCTAAGGCTGCTATACTGAAATACACTGTGACAAAGAAATGAGATCCACATCTCGCTTTTTTCCCTCGTATTATGGGGTTGACACATCGGATGGGGAGAGTTTATGCAAAAATTCAAATTCGGTTAAAGGTGCCGCCGTTACGGATGTCACAGCGAATTGAAAATCAAAGCATGCTGTGAAGGTCTGAGTGATGCAAAACAATGTTTGTGTTTAGGGCTGTGCAGAGGGCACAGAGCAGGAAGAAAGGGAAAGACTCAGGTGAAGTTTAAAGACGCAGCGTCTCTCTCATCTGTCAGCAGCGTGTCATTTCCAACAATCCTCAGAGAGCAGGCGGAGGGGACAGAGACCCTGTCTTGTCTGTACACATATTCAAACAGAGGTTTCTGTTTTAGTTTCATTTTTAGTCTCTGATCCCCCCCCCACCCCCCCCCCCCCCCCCCCCCC